ATGCTGTTCTTACAGTGAAGCTTTATGATGTCTGGTTTATCATTCGTTTGATGAGAGGAATCTGAACAGCTGGTTTATACCAATCAAGTTACAAAAAAAATAAAAATTATAATAATTTGAGATGAAGCACCTTTTCTCTTTCACTAGGTTGCACTTGTTTTAAACTTTGAAATACTTATGTTTTATCTGTGTATGACACCCTGAACATGTAAGAATGACACAGAATTACTTGGTTTCATGTTTTTATTGTTAAAAATCTGTGTTTTTATAGGGCTTGTGTGATTGAAGTTAATGTCTGCTGAATCTAAGCTTCACATGCTGTAAACGTGTCCAATAATGTGCTGTTTTGCACTAATGAGTTTTAGTTTTCATGTCTTGGTGTTTTTAGGTATGTCAGAAATGACTGGGTTTGTTTTGTAGACCAGCAGTATTGAGTCACTCTTTCACTCTCACACAAATTAACATTTTCTGAAGATGTCATTTGTAGTATTGCTAATAATAGTACCTTTGGGGAAATTCTGTCTCAGTGGGTTTCAACATGCGTTTTCACATAGACAAATAATACAACATAACAACACAAACACAAAAGTGGCAGTGCCGCTGATCACCCACAATCCTCTAGCAAACGTCACTCAGTTGGTCTTCAGAGAATGTCAAAATCTGGTTGTTTTGTGGAGCACTTACTGTAAATGGGTGTTTTTTTTTCCCAGCTCCCCTGAGTCTGATGAGCTTTCATGACGAATAGAGAACTTTCCCTGGTGGGACGGCTCTGTGTTTGTGGTTACTGGTGAGTCAAAGTGAAACTGATACTCAACACAGTTGGTCTTTTCCTGCTGTTACGGGACCTGCTGCTCTCACGGAGGACCCGGCTGATGTCGGACACTCATCAGGACAGGCCAGTGGATGGTTTTGAGGGATCGTCAGAAGTGTGTGTTGATGGAGCAACACTGAACCCCTCACAGAGCTGTGAAGCTTGAGTACAGCTATAAACTGACACGGTGTTTGAGTGTGAAGGAATAAGGAAACGTCTGTTTATCTGGAGCGCTGCTCACCTTATCTTAGCCTTTCGCTCTTTACTGCATACCTTACTCAACATTACCATAGTTACACCAAAACACTGTAGGAACTGCAGTCATTGTGACTAGAGTAAACCTGCGGGGAAGGGACATTACTCACCACTGTATTATTTATGCTTTCACTTTAGTAACAATGACTGTAAACTTTGCTTGCTATGGTAAATCAAGGAGACCCGAGGAATGAAACACATTTTATTAACCATGTTCATATTCCTGAACCTAACGAAAGGATTATGTGTAGAAATTAATCAATATTTATTTTATTTATAACCATTACTGATTATTTTTGTTTATATGTCCAATAACCAATCTGCAGAAATTAGTATAGAATATATTTCATGTCTCAACTGTAGCTCCTCTTACATGTGGCGTTCCCCAAGGTTCCATCTTTGGCCCAACTCTGTTTTCACTATACTTGTTACCTCTAGGCTCGATTCTTAGGAGGCATGGAGTGTGACACTCAAATCTATCTGCCTTTGAAGCGTACTGACAGGAAAGGTTTAGAAACCTTGCTTGCTTGTCTAAACAATATACGATCCTGACTGTGTTTCTCACTTCTCAGATGTTTCTCCTGAGGAAAAGAGCCCAGTAATCTCACGTCTGTCTCCTGTTTCAGAGGAGATTTCAACAGCGTCTCAAACTGTTCTCAGATAGGCCAAGATTTACAAAGTCAAAAACGCAAATGTTTGAACTCAAATGTTTCAAGACCAAATGATCCGAGCTGCCGTTGACATTGATTTTATAACTCTACTCTTACTGGCTGTCAGTTATTGTGTTGTACATATTTTCATTTCTGAAAAAAAGGAACGTTGGGAGACAGATCTGAGACAAACAGATAGCTGATAAATGAAACTGAAATGAGATGCTGTTAGATCTCATGAGCTGTGAAAGAAATCCTCTGGGATGGGAGCACGTCCAAACAGCAAGCTGAAGTCATGTGTTCTGGTGTTCTGACCCCGGATCAGTAGATGGGCGCTGAATGAAGTGCTCATCTCATGTAGGAGATGTGCTGTGATGAAGCGATAGAGAGGATGACCTCCTCACGCCGGCTCTGATGGAGATATCCGAGCCGGTGAAGTCAGACAGATCGAAGAGCGATTCACAGCATCCGGTCTGTCTCCGCTTTCATCATTAGCAGCTGATAAGAGAGCCCTGGAGATCACGGCATGAATTACCCAGCATCCTCCGCATCTGCCGCCAAACGCTTTCCTGTTCTCATCGGTCTAATGGAGAGGCCGTCATTGACAAACACTTCACTCTCATTCAGGCCAGTGCTTTATGTGCGTTTGCTGAGGGAAGCATGACTTTTACTATTGCTTAGTGATTCGACCAAACCTGAACACTAACACAAGCATTAAACTACCACCCATGAATGATTCCTCACATTGACTTTATTTTATTTTACTTTCCTTTTCTAAGCGATCACACAGCAGATTCGGGCCTTGGCTTGCATTGAACAAGCACACAGCAGCGCTTCAGCATTGTGGACAAACAGCACTCTTTCTGAAGCTGGTGTCTGGGGTTTGACTGCTGTGACACTTTCTATATCTGTAGTCTGTGAGGGGAAACCGTGTTCTGCGGCGGTGGTTTGTCAAACTCTTGCTGTTATTATCAGCACTGCATCTGCTATTATAAAGAATGATGAACCCGCTGAAACATGCTGCTTCTCTCCCTAAAGACAGGTGAATTACGGCACACATCAGCATTCTTTGGCTTTCCCAGTTCAGTACAATAGGAACGCTGCAGTTCTTCCTTCTTCTTCTAAAATAATCCACTTTATTTGCATTGTGTGAGGCCACATACATTAGCTGTCGTCCGGTGAACAGTAATTAGTTTACTAAAGCCTTTAACCAGGTTACTCACCGGTCTATAGAGCCATTGTTATCAGGACAAATGCGTTTCCTCGTCTCACATGAATACAGTGAGCTTCAAGTTCAGTTTACAGTAGTTCCTTATTGACGTGGGTAACAAGGCAAAATATGAGCTTGAATAGATTTGCTTTTACACGTATTCATTTAGCAGAGGCTTTTATCCAAAGTGTCTTGAGGAATGAGGAATAGAACAAGTGATTTCAGCATCATTCAGAGCAGTGCAAGCTAGAACAGGGAGAGATTCGTCTGTCTGTAGGGTCAGAGGAACTACAGCAAATACTCCACACTTCATTCTCTTTAGCTAAATCACCCGCAAGTGCATAGATGCTGTTTTATTGTAAACATCTACACACTTCTGTAATGTGTCAAATTTCAGTGGTGCGATCTAACGTTTCTCTTTTGCCTTGCTTGAGCTCATAGTGTTCTCAAATAGGTCCTGTGGCATGTATGTGAGAAGGCACAGCCTCTTCTTCACTGTGATGTGATGACATGATGCACATGATGGATACTCTCTACTAGGACTAGTAGTTGTACTGATTAACAGCTCACTCACCACTTTTTGTAATAATGAGGCAAATCCATATGAGCAGGCGTGAGATGGAGGCTTCGGTCAGGAGGTGTTTGGCCTCCGTTCAGAGGTTGTGATGGAGGTTCAGGGGTCATTGAGCGGCAGATGGTCATTAATGAGCTGGACTCCCTCAGGCTCTCTTCACACACAGAGGACAGTGAGGTATCGGCATCTGGCTGCTGTTATGACACACACACACACACACACACACACACACACACACACGATGGATGATCTGACGTCATGCTGATGCTCGTGTGTTTCGGTCTTTCAATGCATTTGCTCTGTCTCCTGTCAGCTCATCTCAAACATGTTACAGAGTTATAGCCGTATCAGCATGTTCTTTGGTTGTCTTATTCATTGTTAGGGTGCTAAATATAGTTGTCGATCCATCAGTAACAGTATGACAATGTACATTTCAATCACACCACTAGATCTTCTATTGGAAGAACGACACCAATTGATTTGATTCGTTTAATGTCTTCATGATGATTGGTGTCCTTGATATTTACGAACTGCAGTAACCGTTTTCTAAAAGCACTAAGGCTCTTGAAGCTGTGCTGTATTGTGAATCTGTTGCGTATCATGACTGTATTCACATCGAAACACAACCTCTCATACCATATTACCTAATTCTAGTTAAATGAGGCTGCTGCCAAACAAACCTCAGAATTTCAAAGGATGACAGTCATTTCAGTTGGGATTTTTTGGCCAATCTCAGGCCTACATGGTCTGATATGTTGCTTACTAGCATTCGTACTCGTCAAACTGCTCCGCTGCCAACATACAAGAGCAGACGTACAGCATCAAGTGTATATATATATATATATATATATATATGTTATGACACAAGTTTGACCTGTCGATCCATCAGTAACAGTATGACAATGTACATTTCAATCACACCACTAGATCTTCTATTGGAAGAACGACACCAATTGATTTGATTCGTTTAATGTCTTCATGATGATTGGTGTCCTTGATATTTACGAACTGCAGTAACCGTTTTCTAAAAGCACTAAGGCTCTTGAAGCTGTGCTGTATTGTGAATCTGTTGCGTATCATGACTGTATTCACATCGAAACACAACCTCTCATACCATATTACCTAATTCTAGTTAAATGAGGCTGCTGCCAAACAAACCTCAGAATTTCAAAGGATGACAGTCATTTCAGTTGGGATTTTTTGGCCAATCTCAGGCCTACATGGTCTGATATGTTGCTTACTAGCATTCGTACTCGTCAAACTGCTCCGCTGCCAACATACAAGAGCAGACGTACAGCATCAAGTGTATATATATATATATATATATATATATGTTATGACCCAAGTTTGACCAACATAAAAAGGCTTTCAAAGAAGTATAGTGAAACAAGCAGAGAGAAAGTTCCAGTGGTCAGGGAAAATAGATGACATATGACAGAATGTTATTGGTGCATGAATTTGATCTGAATGCTGAGCTTTGCCCTTGTGTTTGATCTGCAGGTGCTGTGAGTGCGGCGCGTCTCTCTCACACTGGTACTATGAGAAGGACGGACGTCTCTTCTGTAAGAAGGACTACTGGGCTAAATTTGGAGAGCTGTGTCATGGCTGTTCAGAGCCCATCACCACCGGACTCATCATGGTGAGTCCAAACCATCCCAAACCCAATCTCTGCGTCTCTCCTCACCCCACAGTCCTGCTGTCCGTCCTACGGTTTCTCACAGCCGCTCCAGTTACACGGCTCCCCAGCGATTCTCCATTCACACAGTCACTGCTGCATATCACTCGTGAGCAAATCAACCGCACTCCTGTGTGCGTTCATGAAAGAGCTGCTATCTATAATTCAGACGCAGAGCTCATGAAGGGAGCGTTTGTGTGGCCTCTTGTTTTAATGCATTCACTGCTGGCTGGTTTATTTAGTGTTTCTACAAGAGCGAGAGCTGTTTATTTGACAAGAATCATTTACATTTACATGTATTTACATAAAATTTACATTATTTTAAAACATGATCAAAACGTTCCACAGATGTTGCCATTTGGTTCCCCTACTCAAAATTTGTTAAATTATATTGTTGTTTTGAGGTTGAAGAAAACATGCCAGGTCGGGATTTTATTTAATTTTTTTATTTTATTTTATTTTATTTTATTTTATTTTATTTTATTTTATTTTATTTTATTTTATATTTTATTTGACTTGACTTGATTTTATTTTATTTCACTTTATTTCATTTTATATTTCACTTTACTTGACTTGATTTTATTTTATTTTATTTTATTTCATATTTCACTTGATTTTATTTTATTTTATTTTATGTTTCACTTTACTTGACTTGATTTTATTTTATTTCACTTTATTTCTTTTTTATTTTATTTTAATAATAATAATAATAAACACTTGTTGCACCAAACCTAACTGCAACCAAAATGCTAAACTATGAATCTTGCTAAAACTTTTTGAGTTTGCTGGTTAGTGAGCATATTTGTATTTTTTACTTTCTATTTTTGCAGCACAATATTCCTTTAATGGTATGCAATTTTGTATGAATTCAAACCCTTCTCTGTTGTTTTGGATTTTAAAAAGAAACTGCGTATGAGTATGAATGTTACCATATTTTCTGCAAATATGAAATGATAACATGACCAGCATTTCCTCCCGAGGGCGAGGGGCGACAGATTCATATCATTTGTTCTCAAGAAAACCATTCATACAGATTGAACCTTAACCTAGTTTTAGTTCCTTCAGTTCTATCTTTTTGTTGAAATAGAGCGCAAGTGTGGTTATTATAGAGCCTGACAAGTTACTCAAAATGAGACAATTGCTTGCGTTTTTCTTCTTTGTTCCCAGGTTTTAAATTCAGAGTTTTCACGTGTTTACCATTTTGATTTCAAATGAAGTTTAATGAACTGGAGGTGGCTGAGGAGTGTGATGGAGGATGATATGATTATTTTGAACAAGGACATTTGATTACCACAATTAGGCTACATTTACACTTGTGCGTTTTCGTTTTAAAACACATAACTTTTGCTACGGTTACGCCTGTCGTTTACACTACCCCGGGGTTTTTGACTCTCGAAAACAGACTTTTGAAAACACTGCAGACGGGGTGCGTTTCAGTGTAAACGGACCAAAGCGGATACTTTTGAAAACGATGGCGTGGCTGTGCACATTCTCTCTGCGTATCCTTGACGACCGTGTAAACAGTAACATCATGCTCATTGTTGTACCTGCATGAATGGTCATGTGACCTGCGTTTGGTAGTGTGGATGAAGAACGTTTCTGAAACGCGAGTGTAGACGAGTATCGTTTTCATTTTAAAACGAAAATGCACTAGTGTAAACAGGGCCTTAATTAATGCAAAACATCTTAGAACCGTTACAACCCACCTGAGTAGTAAGGTTGTGACAGCAGCACTCTTCACATTCATTTACTAGGTTGAACAGTTTAATTTGTGACAGATAAATTACATCAATATCTGAGCCACTCTGCGGTCTGTCTGTCAGTATGTTAGTGATCTCTCATCAACACTGACTCTCTCTGCTGGATTTATAGCCAGCGTTCGGCTGTTCAAAGTTTGACCCTTTTTGGTTTTGCTCAAAGAGTTTCTCGCTGTGAATGTGCTCCTAATGGAACTATAAAGCAGATGGCAGAGTCTGTGGTCTGTGTTTTTATATATAAAGCGTCTGGCCTGCTGTGGCCGCAGTGCTGGCTGCGTCTGCATCGCTCACCCACTGAGTGATTTAGTGGCACACAGACCGCCTCAGGCAGTGCAGTCCAATAATCAAACTTCCCGAGCTCGGCATAAGTGAATTAAAGATGGCTCAGCATGCACTTCCTGCATTTGATTGACAGACACACATCTGCTGCAGCCTCTGCGGACCCATCTGCAGATGAAGGTCAGGTCTGTAGACTGTGCGTCAGCTCCTGTGAAGAGAAAGAGGAAGATTCTGCTGCAGGGACCTAGAAAGAGAGCATCAAGCTGCAAACTTGACTTAATAGCAGTTTAGAATTTGAGAAGTGACGCTTGAACAATAAACAATAAACATACAGACCTTAGTATACGGCATGTTTCATTTGATAGGAACAGAAATAATGTTACATTGAAAAGTTTTAAAATGTTGCATTAGCAGAATGATCAGCACTGAATTGCAGCACACTAAATGTGTCATCACATTCAACATTCAAGTTAAGTCACCTTTATTTGTATAGCGATTTCTACAATACTGATTGTGTCAAAGCAGCTTTACAGTGTTAAACAGGAAAATAGGCTAGTTTGTCAATGATGCGTGAAGACAATAACAGAGTCATTTTCCAGCTAAAGTCAGTTCATTGATGATTCAGTGATTCATCATCCAGTTCAGCTCTCGTCAATAGTGTCTGTGCTATCAGTCAAGCGTCAAGCCAGAGGAACCAAAACTCCATCGCTGACAGAAATGGAGGAAAAACCTTGGGAGAAACCAGGCTCTGTATAGATAAGGCTCTATAAGATTGTAAGGCAATCCCAGAATGCATTGCAACTAGGTCAGAAAAACATTTTATCCGAGATGGTTGGCAGAGTTTCCTTAAATGTTGATTTATAAATATATTCTATTAAATTCTGAAATGTGTTGATAGGAATTGTTAATCGAATTACAAACTGACCATTTCAACCAACTCTTGTTTGTTATGTGTTTTTGTGCCTGCAAAACTATTGAATTGCTAGCAACACGCTAACGTCAGGCAGAGCATTTGTTTGTGTGGTGACCGTTAATGGAGATTCTGCCCATGAAGTGTGTTTCAAATCATTCACTTACGAGGTTCCATTTGGGTTAAAAGCTAGCCTGCTTCACCAGACAGACTCTTTCTCTGTGAGTAGTCACTTGCCCTGAGTGAGGTTCTGTAATGAAATCACCCTCACTCCCTACACATCCCACATGAGCGGATCTTCACTCAAGCTCATTCTGTGGAAATCCCTCCTCATTCAGAGCCACCCAGAGACACGATCCCATCAGTCTTTGCCCAGTATTATCGGTTTCTCTTGCTTACTCATGGTGATAAATGTTCATAAACATATCTGTCCGGATCTGCCTTTGTTTACCTACAGCTGATCTGGACCCTCCTGCTAGTTTGACTACCTTGACTGATTTCAGTCATTTGTAGTGAAACGCAAGTGTTGAATGTGTGTTGTTCTGTTTGGAGTAGTGCGTTTCCTCATTCCTCACTAGCTTCATGTCTTATCACAGAGCCACTGATGGGAATATCTTGATTCCTGGGAACATTAGTGTTGCTGTAAAATTCTACAGAATGAGGGTCTGTTTGTCAGAAATGCATTGTTTCTGTCTGTTACCTGACCTGTTCCTCCTCATGTTTTGGTCTGTAGCAGCCTAGTCTCCTGAAGTACACTGAATGTGCTGAGAGCTGACTGAGAATGGCAGTTTCGGTCTGATTGGCTGATAATTCAGGGTCATGCCGGCCTGCTTTGCCAGAAAGAGAAATACTCAAGAGTTTTGATGAAGGCACTTCAGATGACTTGAGCTTTGCTGCGACTGTAGTAACACAGCTGAAGCTCCTCTGAGAGGTTGTGTGTGTCGGAGGGAGGGTTGGGTCGAGTGAAGGAGGAGTGTGTGTGTGTGTGTGTGTGTGTGCGCGTGCGCTCGGCAGGAAGTGATGAAGTCACCCGCTCAGAGAGAGAGAGAGAGAGAGAGAGAGGGAGTGACACAGAGCTTTCTGGGATGAGCTCAGCGCTGGGTGTGTGGCTGTGTTTTGTTTTCGTGCCGCATTCGCTAGAATGATCTGCACACTGTAGCTGGTGGTCATGGTCGGCGATGTGTTTTACTGGGGCTTCTGCTGTCTGAGACTCTGGAAGAGAGAGAAGAAGGTAAGCCGGATGGGAGTTTACACATGTCTGTGTCAGTTATAAGGACCTGCATTTCATTCATGTTCAGTTTAGAGGATAATGTTGCGCAGGTATATAATGTAAAAGGCACATTCAGTTTGACTCTGATGCTGATTTAACAAACATTCAAGCACGTCTTCGGATGAGAAGCAATTCTCTTTACAGTTTTCATCTTAATTCATTTTCATCTTAATCGATTAGTTGTGAAGCTGGATGTTCACAGACGTGATGACCTGGTTTATTCTTCATCTGATCACACTCAGATCAAATGATCATTCTTGCATTGTTTTCTGTTAGGTTCATTCTGTGTCTTCTGACATCACAAGATATGGCAAATTCATGACCTAAACGAACAGTCATAAAGTCATCTAATTCTTGAGAAAAAATATTGTTCAGTTTAAATCGAATAGACACAGCATCTTTCATCTTTGGATCCCATCCTTGACTAGTTAACCGGGTCACAGTGTTTGTGTGTCACTGATGTCTGAGTCTCTCTGTGTTTAGAGCTGCTGATGCTGCACTAACAGCACAGACTTAGTAAAACGGGCTCTATGAGGATAAACCCATGACAGTTGTGCTGCTAGTGCTGTACTTGTTAATCTGCTGGAGCTTTTTTGGTACTTTTGAAATCTGGCAGAAAAAAGAGTTAAAATGTGCTGTTTGAATTGGTGCAATACATATATTAACCATAAAAAGTGCATCTGTAGAACTGCTGTGCAGAGTAGACATCATATTTAATGGGATGTTTTTTAAAACAGTGCTGTGAGGACAGACATACAGTAGGTTTAATAGCTTAAGTGCTTTATTGTCATTTGTAAGTCTCTTTGGATAAAGGAATAAATGTGAATGAGGTACAGAATTACAGATAGTTTAATAGTTTGTTCTGTCTAAGGTCGAGTGCAGTTTTCAGAGCGGATCTATCAGACTGGACGTCTGTCCTCAGGCCTTCATTATCATTCATCAATCACACATGGCGCTGGCTCTGATCCGGGTGCTGCGATCGAATGTTGTTACATCAGCAGGAAAAGCATTCATCCCCGACGATAGCATGCTTGCAGGGTTTGTGAATGTGGCAGATTTCCCCGTGAGCTGTAGTTTGTGTCCGGCGCCTTAATGACAGCTTTTCAGTCATAAGATGTCATTAATCAAACTGTGTGTCGATGAATAGATGAACAGCTGCCAATAGCAAGTGAGTGTGACCTTAAGGTGCTGAATTCCAGTCATTCTCATTTTAAATATCACTTTTGAAATCACACCTCCCAGTTGTTTCCAAACTTACATTAACACAGGCAACATACAGGATGAGTCAGCCTGTCTGTGATTACAGCTAAACCACAGGTCTCTGTTTATTTGTGGACAGTGATCGTTTTGTGTAATGAAAGGTTAAAAACATAGGACATCAGTGCATGTGTATGACGTTCCCACTCATTGATCCAACATCAAAGTGGCTGATTCAGATCCGGAAATGTTTCCAGGCACTGAATCAGAACGAGGGTTCCTGTATTCATGTCTTCTTTCCTAAAGCGAATCGTGTGTGGCTCATTGTGATCGTCCATCAATGACACAACAGAAGATCTCATGAGGATCACATGCACTGTGGAATCTTCTGGAAACTGTCCTTGTCTGAAAGCTCAGTTACAGTATGGGGAGAGATGGGGGATTTTGGCTGATTTATTTTGAAAAAAAATGTCTATAGTTGACATCAGGCAGCTGTTCGCTGATGAACTCATAATTGACACATGCTAATGAGGGACTCTACAGGCAGGAGAAGAGCCGAGTTTTGTGTAGATGTCTTGTATTGGTTCATGGAAACAGTGGGAGTTGTGGTTGTTCAGATGGACAGTAGCTGTAGTTGTGGGTGGAGATGTGTTGTGTATTTTCAGACGCGGTTCGGGTGTGTGTTGGTGGTCTGTCAGCTCTGTTTTCCGTGTTGGTTGAGCGTTTGTGAAGCAGCTACTGAAATGAGGAAGCGGTGGGCAGTGACGTTACTGGAGGAGACATCACATTTTCCCCTCTGAAGATGTCATTCACACATGAATTAGGGTTCAAGTTCTTTCTTTTAATTCAAAGAAATGGACAGACTCTGCCAAACAATTTAGTATGCGTCTAAGATCATTTTCACACTTATTGTGCTGTTTCTTATTTGAAAAACACCAGAAAGCTGTTGAAGAAGCCGAAGCCAAAACGTGGTCTTACAGTATGGTTGTGTAACGACGTTTCTCAAAATTATTTGGTCACATAAGTCAGCCTTCAAAATCTCTAAATATCATTCAGGGTTCGTACGGTTATGATCACTCTATTGTGATGTAGACACACGCATTTTCTGTAAAGCTGCTTTGAAATGATGTGTATTGTGAAAAGCGATATACAAATAAATTTGAATTGAATTGAATAGTTTATTCAGTTTGTGTGTATTTCTGTACCTGAATGCTACTGTTAGACTGAAACAGTTTCCTAAATGAAGTTCAGGTCCTGAGTTTAACTCAAGTCAAGTCAAGTCACCTTTATTTATATAGCACTTTTAACAATACAGATGTGTCAAAGCAACTGTACAGCATTAATTAGGAAAATATGGTGTCAATAATGCAAAGTGACAATAGTAAACACTCAATTTTCAGTTAAAGGCAGTTCATCATTGAATTCAGTGATGTCATCATCCAGCTCAGTTCAGTTTAAATAGTGTCTGTGCAATCAAGTCAACGATATCGCTGGATAAGCAAGCCAGAGGCGACAGCGGCAAGGAACCAAAACTCCATCGGTGACAGAATGGAGAAAAAACCTTGGGAGAAACCAGGCTCAGTCGGGGGGCCAGTTCTCCTCTGGCCAGACGAAACCAGCAGTTCAATTCCAGACTGCAGCAAAGTCACATTGTGCAGAGGACTCATCTGGTTCCTGTGGTCTTGTCCCGGTGGTCATCTGAGACGAAGGGACAAGGTCTTTACAGGGGATCTGTATCTGGGGCTCATCTAGTTGTCCTCGTCTCCGCTGTCTTTCAGGGCTGTAGAGGCCGTCTCTAGGTGCTGACCCACCATCTCTGTCTCTGGGGCTCATCTAGTTGTCCTGGTCTCCGCTGACATTCAGGGCTGTAGAGGTCATCTCTAGGTCCTGATCCACCATATGGTCTGGATACGTACTGGATCTGGTGGCCACAGTGATGTCGGAATAAGAAAGAAACAGACTAATATTAGCGTAGATGCCATTCTCATACTTTCCCGCCAAGCAATACGAAATACTTCTAGTTTTGTTTTCCTCCAGCTGTGCTCTTAGCTGGAGGAAAACAGCTGCACTATTAACTGATAATATTGGTTAAATAAATTATAATATTCTATGATGTGATGATATGTTCTCTGCGTGGAGTAAATGCCGCAGCTTGTACTTATTATTAAAACAAATAGAAAGCAAATAAGTAGCATTAATGGTCATTCATTTTAGTTAACATATGCTATGATAAAGTTGAACAGTTTTTTATTCTTATTGTAAAATAATGGAACGTTAGGTCATGAATATTGTTTCAAGTCATGGAAAAGTTAAGGAAATTTATTGCTAAAATGTGTACGGACCCTGATCATTGCGTTAAATAGCGAAATGTCACAGCTATAAGGAGAACGTGAGCACACATATGCGTAGGTAAACTAGACTGTCATCAGATCAACTTCAGCTAGTTTGAGAGACTGGATTCTCATTCCTGTTTCTAATGTCACTCTTTTATATGGAAATCAATGCAAATGAAAGTTGAGTGTAATGAACAGTGAGATATATGCTGGTGTTCTTCTGCTGTGAGTATCAGTGCTAATGTGAATGAATTAATGTCAGTGTGATGATTCTTTCTCTTTGACTGCTGTGAAGGACAACAGAGTTTAGCATTTTACTGTTCTCAAGCATATGATGACATTGACAGTCATTCAGAATCTGTTCTTTTGCTCTTTCAGAATGAAGCAAAGAGACATGAGATGAGTTACTAAAAGTCCTTTTTCTCTGTTACGTTAGTAACACTACACTGACGGGTCTGAACCTTGTGAACCTTTAACTTTAAGCATTTCTTGATTTACCTTTAGTTAACCAGGAGAGAACCTCACTGAGGTTAACAGTATCTCTTACAGGAATGCCCTAACAAACAGCAACACAAAATAAAATATCAGTGTCTGTGTGCTCAAGGTCGCCGGAGAACAGAAGTATCACCCAGAATGCTTCACCTGTCTGAGCTGCCGAGGGTTCATCGGTGATGGAGACACGTATGCTCTGGTGGAGCGATCCAAACTCTACTGGTGAGTGACCGCAGCCTCTTGAATCAGCACACGTCTGAATTACCGTCACATTATTCACGTGAAACATGGCTCCAGTTCTTGACATGTAAACCAGGATCTGAGCATGTGCGTTAGGCGTTATTAGTGTGTGCTGTAACAGTGCTGAAGATGCACTAATGTTTCCCAGTGGAGTGAGTACATAAAGCTCCCCGTGGAACGAGCCGTGAAAGTGGGCTTTATTCATGAGTAGTCAAGAAGTTGGTCAATAAAACATGATTTGGCAGTTTCATTGTTTTAACTAACAGGCAATTCTGCAAACCAACTGAACAAATGTATACTTCATTTTTACATTTCAGTTACTGTAGCAATATATTGAAATCTACAATTTGATCATTTGAATCAGCTAGAAGTCTGTCCATATCAGACCACCGGTTAGCATGATGAATGTGTAGGATTTCAGTCAGAACAACATGTGAATAAATCACTAATAGACCCTTGTGAATGTTGTTCACTGTTGAAACACTGTTCCCTACTAACTAGTTGCTCATTAGCATGCATATTACTAGCAGATTGGCTGTTTATTAGTACTTATAAAGCACATATTAATGTCTTATTCTGCATGAACATATTTTAGATCGCTTAATCCTAAACCCCATACCTAAAGATAACTACTACAACAACTACCTTACTAACTATCAATAAGCGACAAATTAAGAGTTAATTGAGGGAAAACTCTTAGTTAATAGTGAATACGTGTTCCCTAATATAAAGCATTACCAAAAACTTTTCAACCTCTGTACATCCCAGAATGATTAGTGAGCCCTTATCAACTTACTTTCATAATCATAACCACAAAGTTATAATAATTGCATGGCAGCTCGGATATTTGAACTGTTTAACCAGTTCTTATGTTAAGCATTGTAAGAAGACGTTTGCTAATGTTATTTACAGAAGTAAAATGTCACCAGTTCATCAGGAAGCCATGATATAATTAATGCTTCTTGCCTTTAAAAGGTTTTATGAACTTCTAAAATCATTGTACCTTAAATCTTCAGTGGGAAGTGTCCATATTATTTGTTGATTTCTGAGCTCTCAGTGTTTTTCGTGCATGATGTTGTAATGATGTTGTTAAATGAGCTCTTGTGACCATTGAGTGTGCTGATGATCTGCTGTGTCTCCCTCTAGTGGACACTGTTATTATCAGACGATCGTGACTCCCGTCACTCTACCCGACTCGCCGTGCTCCAGGATTCCTCACACGGTCACGCTAGTGTCTATTCCCGCCTCCACCGATGGGAAACGAGGCTTATCCGTGTCCATCGATCAGGGCTCCAGTCCCAACGGCTTCAGCCCCGAACACACACACACCATCAGAGTCTCCGAGTGAGTGTGAAACATGCTGAATGTACAGACACTGCTGCGATCCGCTCAGTAAACAGAGCGTGTGAGAATATTTAGACATGCAGAACAGGAGAATCCTGACAAAGATCTGTGCATGACTGAGAAGGTGTGACTAAAGATGATCAGCAGGAGTCTGGCCAGTGATGAGTTTCATAAGAAGTCATGTGTGTGTTCCTGATGTCTGTCTGGATCCTCTGGCTCATGTGCTGGGCTTCATGTGTCTCTGTGGTTTTGTCCGTGTGTTCAGGGTGGACCCAGAGTGCATCAGTCCAGACGTCAAGAGCTCCATTCATGTTGGCGACCGGATCCTGGAGATCAATGGAACCCCAATCCAGAACGTTCCTCTGGACGAGGTGAATAAAGCCCTTGTGTAGATGAGTCACACTCACTATTGAGCAACAGTCAGCGTGACTGCAAACGGACTCTGTCAGTTCAAGCATTCATTCATGACAGTGTGTGTGACTCAGAGCCTCGTGTGTGTGTGTGTGTGTCAGATCGATCTGCTGATCCAGGAGACCAGTCGTCTGCTGCAGCTGACCATTGAACATGACCCTCATGACCACAGCCCCTCGGTGGACCAGGTGGATGGGCCGACACCCCCGTCTGAGGGGCCCAGTCCCATCACGCCCATCACACGGCCCCCCAGCCAGGACATTAACACCCTGCGCTCGCGGATCATCACGTCAGTAAAGCACACACTGCTGATCACAAATATAGCCAGTGCACAACACAGTGTGAAATAATATGTGCATCTGTGTTTAACTTTTCTGAGTAGATTGGATTGGATTATTATTTGCTGTATTATTAGTGTTGTTTGTTAAGTCAGTAATCGATTGCTATTACTCATACAGTAATTAGTGTTTCATCAAATAACATTGTCATGTAACTCACTGCATAGCAACATGCTACCAGTTACTGCATGACAACAACCTACACAATCTGTTGTGTTGGATCAGATTGAATTGTTGTGATGCATGTTGTGCTGTTTGAGTTCATTGAGGCTGATAGCAGTGTGATTTTAACAGTCAGTGTGTGTGTTTGCGCAGGCGCAGCTACAGTATCGATAAATCTCCGTGCTCCAGTAACACGCCGTCTCCACTGTCTCTGAGGAAAGACATCGGCCGCTCCGAGTCGCTGCGTGTCGTGTCCAGCCGCACACACCGAATATTCAGAGCCTCCGACCTGATCCACGGAGAGGTTCTGGGTACAGGCTGCTTCGGACAGGCCATAAAGGTGAGCACACACACACACACACACTTTCGCCCCCCCACACACACACACACACCCACTCACTCACTCACACACTCACTCACTCACTCACTCCCTCACTCACTCACTCACACACTCACTCACTCACTCACTCCCTCACTCACTCACTCACACACACACACACACACTCTCTCTCTCTCTCTCTCTTTCTCTCTCTCTCACACACACACACACACACACACTCTTTATCCTCACCACACACACTCACTCACTCACTCACTCACACACACACACACACACACACACACACATCATTCAGCATTAGTGAGGTCTGAATGCTGCAGCAGCTTCTGCTGGAAATTCTCTTCACGTCATAATACACTGTTTCACATACAATGTGTAAATGTCAACAGGACGTATGCAGTATACAGTGTGTCGTGAGCATAGTGTTCTCAGCAGACTGTGGCACATGCAGTATGAGTATGCTAGTGTGAGTACTGTGGTAACATGCTGCTCTGTCGGTGTGTGTGTGTGTGTGTGTGTGTGTGTGTGTGTGTGATTGTCAGGTGACTCACAGAGAGACGGGAGAGGTGATGGTGATGAAGGAACTCATTCGATTCGATGAGGAAACACAGAGGACCTTCCTGAAAGAGGTGAAGCCTGCTCACTACACACGACACATCTAGTGTGGACTACAGGCTCTGAGACAGTAAGAGTGTGTTTGACAGCAATGAGTCTGTAAGAGTCTCACAAGAGTGTCAACACCTTCAGCACATTCACTGTAAAACACCGCAGCTTCACCAGATGAAAGACCACGCAAACACTCAGCCGTCAGCTAGCGCTCGTGTTTCTGTGATTCGTTTAGGATTAGCTCCCATAGTTGGCTGTGTCTGAATGGCTCGATGGGACAGCTGTGAGTGTCCGGACGGGTCATCTGAGGAGAGATCAGCACATCCACACCTGAGCTCGTGCTGGAGCGCTGCTGACACTGATTCACTGAGGATCACTGCACACTGAGGCCGGAGCGCTGGGACTCCTGAAGCACTCTCGTGTGCACATCTGCTCCATTAAGCGTCATGCTGGAAGGCTGAGAGTAGTTCAGCAGGAATGTAGTGATATTAAACACTCGAAAGCCATACAGGAACTGAAAATAATCCTCACCCGGGAATGTTTATCAGCCAATCAGAATCCAGCATCGAACAGTTCATCATGATTACAGGACAGGGTTATTATCGTTCACTACAAATAAACCTTAAAATAAAATAGACAGAACTGAAATACAAAAACTATTGTCATTTAGTTTAACTTGATGTACTAAAATAATTAAAACTGACATTAAAATTAACAAAAACTATACAGACCTTTAACAAAAAAAAAGTCATGGAAATGACAAAAACACAAAAAAATTACAAACCCTAAAACTACAATGAACAAGAAAATATAAATATAAAACTAATTCAAATATTAATGTAAGCTGTAATATTATCTCAAAGACAGTAAAATAACAGTATGATGTGTCACAATCATTCAGTATAAAACACAACAGATGCGTCTCACAGTAAGCAGTCGTTTCTTCACACGCTTCATCCACCAAACCTACCGATCTAGCCCAAACCACATCAGACCAGCGCACACCAGACTGATGGGATTGTGGGTCAGGTGTGTTTCTGCTGGATGGTGTTTGTGTGTGCTTTTGGCATTCATCATGAATGTTGTGTGGGATCATAGATCTCTAGAGCTTCCTCTACATTACGGCTCTCAGTTTTGTCTAGAGGAACCGGCGTCTCAGTCCATCAGCTAAGCTTTCGTTCTGAGAAGAGACTCACATCTGTCTCCTCTAGAGTTTCACAACATTAGCCACTTCCACACATTCAACACCGTCTCATTGACACATCGCTTTGGGAAACACTGTGCTGTTAGTCATCAGAATGAAGAGCGACCTCTGAACTTCTATACGCCACGTTAGTTTGTGTGTGTGTGAGATTTGAATGGGTTTCTACAGTTTATCTACTGTAGATGTGATCGTTGCTCTGTGTGACGCGGCGGTGTCGCTGTGTGTTCAGGTGAAGGTCATGAGATGTTTGGATCATCCGAACGTGCTGAAGTTCATCGGCGTCCTCTACAAAGACAAACGGCTCAACTTCATCGCTGAGTACATCAGAGGAGGAACGCTGAGAGACATCATCAAGAATATGGTAAGTGTGAGTGTGTGTGTGTGTGTGTGTGTGTGTGTGTGTGAGTGTGAGTGTGAGTGTGAGTGTGTGAGTGTGTGTGAGTTTGTTTGAAGTGATAAATATAAAGCATGTCACATGTTCAGGACAGTATTTTCATCATCACATGCTGTACATACAGTATAAATGCTGTACTTATGCTGTACTGTTGTATGTGTAGTATCATCTTTCTGAATGTGAATGTCTGATCTGTACAGGACAGTGATTATCCATGGAAACAGAGAGTGAGTTTTGCCAAGGACATTTCCTCTGGGATGGTGAGTGCTCTCAGTACTGCCCTCGTCTGGACACTCAGTGTGTGACTGCAGATCACATGACTACTAAATTATTTTACATTCCTATTTTATGAGCTAAAAAGTTGAAAAAGCTCAAAGAAGCCTGTTTAGGAAAACTAAAGTAATAAACTAATTTTCACTCCAAAACCGAAATAAATTATAAATGACCATATATTCAGTTTAGTTTTGCTTAGTAAAACACAGTGCAAAATATTTCCAACTAAAAACAAACAAAAACCAGAAAAAAAAACTGAAAACAAAAAACAGCCATTGATTAAAACAATAATGATGAAAAACAAAATGAATTAAAATGAAAAGAACAATACTGTGGTGAATGGTGGCAGTACATGAATGAAGCGTGTGACCTGCAGAGGGCAGGATTTCACATCAGTTTCTCTCTTTGTTTGACTCAGACGTACCTGCACTCCATGAACATCATCCATCGAGATCTCAACTCACACAACTGCCTGGTCAGAGAGGTCAGTCACACATGCGTGCGCTTGTGTGTGTGTGTGTGTGTGTGTGTGTGTGTGTGTGTGTGTGTGTGTGTGTGTGTGTGTGTGTGTGTGTGTGTGTGTGTGTGTGTGTGTGTGTGTGTGTGTGTGTGTGTGTGTGTGTGTGTGTGTGTGTGTGTGTGTGTGTGTGTGTGTGTGTGTGTGTGTGTGTGTGTGTGTGTGTGTGTGTGTGTGTGTGTGTGTGTGTGTGTGTGTGTGTGTGTGTGTGTGTGTGCGTGTGTGTGTGTTGTGTTTTGTATTTTTTGTTGTGTTGTGTTGTGTTTTGTTGTGCAGATGTGTGAGTAGTGTCCTTCTCTTGACAGAATAACAGTGTTGTTGTGGCGGATTTCGGACTGTCTCGACTCATGGTGGAGGACAAGAATCAGGACAAGCTGACGTCAGGACAGATCCCGGGCGCGAGGAAACCCGACAGGAGGAAGAGATACACCGTGGTGGGAAACCCGTACTGGATGGCTCCCGAAATGATTCACGGTCAGAGACGACTGGCTTTAGCATCCGTCATGTCTGCAAATTTATTATTAATGTATTATTCAGTGTGTTAATCATAATGTTCTTACAAAATGCTCTTGTGCTGTTTTAAGAAAAATCTAATTCTAGAGAAGATTTATTAAAAGTGCCAAGTTCTTGAAACTTTCAAATCATGTAATTAAATTCTTTCCTTACAGCTTTAATACATGTGAATGAGCACATCATTATTTAATGTTTTCAAACATACTTTTAATTTGTAGGTCATAGGTCAACTTGTAGGTTGATATATGCAGACACTAAAGAATGTTAAAATGTGAAATCAAACTCTTTAATCAGATTTATTAGCGTTAATGCTGGTAACAGTTTCAGTCAGTGATATGGTGGACTGTGAGACTGATGTTTCTCCATCTGCTCCTCAGGGAAGAGCTACGATGAGAAGGTGGACATCTTCTCGTTCGGCATCATGCTGTGTGAGGTGAGTGTTTGCTCAGGATAACAGCTCTCTCCACATCAAGCTGCAGGCTCTGTGTTTAATGAGAAACATTACTCCGTCATCAGCAAACCGCAGCCGGAGCAGGCAGCTGGAGGGGAAGCAGTATCTGGTTCAGTATGTGTTCTGCTGGGGTTTAGAGAAGCCCGGCGCTGAGAGGAAACCTGACGCTGCTTCCTCTGTTCTGAATCCGTCTCTCCTCTCCGACTCAGATTATAGGCCGAGTCAACGCCGATCCCGACTTCTTGCCCCGTGCCATGGATTTCGGGCTGAACGTGAAAGAGTTTTTGGAGGATCACTGCCCGCCTGACTGCCCGACCGCTTTCTTCCCCATGGCGGCGCTCTGCTGCGATCTGGACGCTGACAAACGGTTAGAAAAGTCCATACATAACATATGTGTCATATCTACATAACATGACTGTGCAGTGCATTGACTCACTTGATGTGTTAAAGACCATGGATTCATTCAGTAAGGAATCACTGCTGTGTTGATCAGAGATGCTCAACAGCTCTGCTGTGACTTTATAGCTAATATTTTTGAAAAGCAGCACTCTTGCTGGTGTGATATCGCTAAACCGTATCATATGATATAAATGTAAGAGGGTCATATTTTACACTCATATAACTGTATTCTGATAGGCTTCATCAATCATCACACAGTCAGTCGTCCTGCATCATGTTCATCATTTTGTTCTGCATCATTTTAACATGTAATTTTTTCTATTACTAATTGCACCAAATGAATGTGTTAAATCAACAGCCCCATAAACAATATATAAATAACAATATAGTTATTTTTAAGCAATTACTGTAGTTTTTCCAAAGCTAAAATAATGACATTGTGAAATTGCGCTGGCAGGCCTGCGTTTGCTAAGCTGGAGTCGTGGCTGGAGAACCTGAAGATGCACATGGAGATGGGGCTTCATCTGGTGTCCGAGCTGGAAGTCATTCATCAAGCCTTCTGGCAGAAACACTCAAGCGGCAAGAACGGGCTTCACACGCACCCAGAGCAGCCTGAGTGAGAGCCGATCGCTGCAGATCCACCACAGGACATCTGCGGCTGAACACACCATGCTTCTGCAAATCCAAGCAACCCACGCTGCCTCCTCACAACATAACACATCTGGAAAGATGTTTGAGCTCGAGTCTGACGCACAGCATCAGCTCACACACTCATGCATGTCTGGTGTGGCTTACAGTGTGGTGTTCTTCATACGGTCCTGATGGTGCGTTCACGTCTCGTCCACACGACCTCTGTGATGAAGCTCTGACTGTGCTGCTCCGGTTGATCTGGTGATGAGATATGAACGCACCAGAACACACGAGACACATCGCACATCATCAGTGTCCTCGTGTTCCTTAGGTACGCCAAGCATCAGTGTCTCAGCACTAATAGTCCGCAGTGTAAACAGAGTTACAGTACACATTGTAAATGTTTGACATATTGTATATGTGCAGGCATTGTTTTGTATAGTGATTGCGCATTGGCGTACTTTCATCTGGATGTTTGCTGAAATGCAAGTCCAGTCCTCACGAGAAGATAAGGAACATGATGAACTCTAGAGAGGCTTCCCGTCCGAGTCCAACACGTAAAGCATCATGCACGTCAACTTAACTTAATGCTATCTTCTTACACCCAAATCCAAAATATATGTATATATGTGTGTTTTGCAGAAAACAATGAAGCCTATTTTTTTTAATAATGATTTATTATTTAAATTGTAAAGTAAATATGCATCACGTTAGTATTTGTTGTAATGAATGTATTTTATGGTGATTTAAAAGAAAATCAAAGATCTTCACAGGCTTCATGTTCTTGTGCAAAATCGAGTTTCTAATCTCTTTCTTTAGATTCCGGGGTGAATGATGTTGTGGACTTGTCTTTAACTCGTGCTTCAAACGGTGATGAGTGGACAGGATTTCCTGTCTTGTGTGGTGATCTCGGTACTGTTGCACATGCTGATGTCTGATCTGCAGGAGTTCGTTCCCAGCCTGTGTTTGAAAGGCTTAGCCTGATTTAGACCCTCATGTGGGACGGTGTGTGTGTGTGTGTGTGTGTGTGTGTGTGTGTGTGACTCCCCATGGGAGCCTCAGCTTTACACAACACTGCTGGTGTAAATATCTGACAGAACCGCTTCTCTTGATGTTTCTCGTGCCGTTGCACTGCATGTGTCACTGTCACGTCCTCCACTACTGATCCAGCTGTTCTCGTAAAGATCAACAGATGTTATTGTGAAAACACGAAAGAGGGTCACCAGGAAAGCACGTGTACAGATGGAAAAAAAGTAAAAACACAGCCTCTTCTCTCTTTTTGAATAGAACCACTATTTTCTCTTTTATAAAATGTTGAAAGGATTTGATTTGCACTATGTGTGAAAGCGGCTGCCGCTCGAGCCTTTGGTTTCTTTGGGTTATTTGAGCCGTTTAGTTATTGTATGAATGCACGTCACTGACGGAGCCTTTGGTGAGGTTTGTCCGCTGACGCCGCGGCTCCTGAGCAGCAGATGTGTCACGGACAGAAAAAACATGAGGTCTGATCCCAGTGCTGTTATACAGTTAGCATCACCTGCAGTTAAATGACTGTTCACACTATCAGTACCAGTTTGACAGTTTCTAAATAGATATTTGGCTGTTGTTTGATATGAATCCGTATGCTGCACAGTCTAGCTGATGTCAACCAGACAGAAAAGCTGTTACTGTGTTTTCATACAGACAAACATTGTTGTCAAGTCCGGTTAAGCTTGGTTTATGAAGACAATAAATAGGCTTAATTTTCATTTCATGTTGACTTGAAGCCCTGTTGATCATATCAGATATCAATAATATCATTATTTCCATTAACATAAAGCCATATTACTATGAAAGCCATTTTAGAGAACTGATTATGAGTCCATAGTTCCTGTAACCAAAAACTACCAGAAATGTCCTGTGAAGCAGTGCTGTATAAAGCAGCTGTCATTCCTTTGCTGGCCTACACACACACACACACACACACACACACACACACACACACACACACACACACACACACACACACTCACACACACACACACTCACACACACACAGCACTTAAACATTGTAGTCTAGCTCGAGATGCTCATGGAAGTCAAACTCAGGGTCCTGCTGCTGTTGAAGAAGGTCACGTCATGTCATCGTTCATATCTGTCAAACTCATACACATCAGTGAGAAAGTGCTGAGGAAGCCAGAGCTTGATCTGGTGACAGAATGCTGCACCTTTTTCTTCTGGAAGCAATGGTTTTACCTCCACATTGCTGTGCCTTTGTTTTACGCTAGCCTTGCCAACGAGTTTGTGTGGCCATCGCTTACCTGTTTCACTGAGGTTTCCTTTTGTTCTCTAGATATTATATTCTCCACGTTTCCATTGTTCAGTTTGATATTTTAGGTTTGCTGTTTTTACTGAAGCTGTGAAATGACTGCACTTTAAATGCACTGTCCGTGAATGGAGGCGACTGTAATTCAGGACAGAATAAAGTGGTGCTCCTGATGTTACGCTGCTGTCTCTCGACTCATCATTACTGCTGTGTTCGGTGTCCTCTCTCGATGCTTTCTCATGCAAGAGTTTTACATTCATCCGCTAATTAGATATTTAGCTGATGACTTTGTAATGCAAAATCATGACTCATTTGAAAACAGTTCAATATATAATACATATCTCTGAAGAGACCGACAGACAATACCGGTCATTTACAGTCTCACATTTACTGTATTGGCAAAAACAGCACAGTCATGAAAGACTTAATTAGGGGCCAAGCACTAAAGGTCTGTAGGTGTCACACGTAGTTGCAGCAAAGCACACGACGATGAAGATATAAGAGTATAAGATCAATCTTTAATAATAATCCTCAAGGCAAGCTGACAGAAGGCAGCGAGCAAAAGCAACACTCACAGACTCAACACTGAACACAGCACCTACAGTACTACTACAAACCAGGTTAAGTAATGAAACACAGCTGAACAGGAGAACTAATCCTACCAACAAGAAGAATAACTAATGAATGGCTGGAGCTAGAGCAAAAGAAAAAGGAAACTAAATAGAGACAAACTAAAGTCTGTGACAATGAAACTAAGAGAAAAACAACTGAATATCTGTGACAGTAGGCACCTATTGCATCCATTAGTCTTCTTCTTCTATAGCAGCCCATAGAACCGTATAGTACAAAGTTATGAAATTTGGCACACAGATAGAGGACAGTCTGAACATTAACCACACCAAGTTTGGGGTTTCTAACTCGAACCCTCCAGCACCACCACTTGTCCAATTTTGCACTCACTTTGTGCTAATAACTTTTGAGCCGTAAGGACTAGAAACACAATTCTTTATTATTTCCCTCTGATTCCTTGGCTCTAGACAATTCTATGACAATTCATTTTGCATCATAAAACTTTTTCCTTTAAATTTAAAAACAAACAAACTACTTTTTCGAACTCTTAGACTGTTTGTCCAATTATTGCAAAAACGGAAAAAATAAAAAATAAAAATAAATGAAAAAATAAATACTACTCAGCATTAAGCAAAATTAGCAGCAGCAACATGCAGCATATGATTCATTTTGTGTGAAAAGATGAACGAAGGCTGAAAGAAATTAAATGACAGAATGTATGATTGAATTAATTATGAATGCACAAGGAACCGACTGTCTTCAGAAAAGTTTCGATGGCATGATTTGCTTTTCATCTTCTCTCCATAAAGCCTGATACAGAAGAATTATTCATATTTTAGTGCTTATGCAAACAAAAAGTGCATAGTGCTGCTACTTTTATTTGCTGTTTGTTGGTTTTCAACATAAAACTCTTAATTTTATTGTGTGTATAAGTACTTTTTGAACATTTCCAACACATTTGAACAATACCGTGATAATACTGATAACCATGATCATGGTCATGTGTTCATTTATTACTATTTACTCGTCTATATAACATCATTTATTAAAATGCAAGGCTACACGTGTCTAAAACAATAACTTTTTTATTTTTTCCTTAATATGTTAATAATAATAATTTCCTTAAAATATTATATTCTTTATGTCGTTTTAATTTTGATAATCCATTGCATATTTAAATGGTACTAAAACTGACTATTACCCTACCCTCCCCCTTATTATTTATGTATAAACTGGTCATTATTTATTAATTTGTATTTTGCATTCATTTGATAAGAATATGGGGAAAATGTACTTTGTCATGAAAATGATGTCATATCAGTTATACTAATAACTGCGTATTATATTGTTATTATGATGCTGATTACCACAGATCTAAACAGAACAGGCTGTGTTTGGCTCGCGCATGTGCGATTGTTTTGAAGGCGCGCGTGACGTCAGCGGGAGGCAGTGCGTGACGTCACGGCGGCGTGGAGCCGCATTTAAAGCGCTCAGTGCTGCGCGGACGCGGTCAGTCAGCTCACTGCGCTGAGATACAGCCGTCCGTCTGCCGCGGGAGCCGCTGCATTTACCCGAGAGGAGTATCTAGACACGAAAGGGTCTGTCGGTTTTCGAGCGATGGAAAACTCGGCTGTCAACAACCGCTTCAGGACTGCGCTCTTCAGCCACGGTGAGTCTCAGCCTGTGTTACTGTGTCGCATTCCTAGAGCCGAGCTGCGCTGCTCACTGCTGAGAGCACCTGAAAACACTGACTGAAACCAAGAGAAGTTAAGAACTGTTTCTGGTGCGTTCACTGAAGAAGCGTGCTTACACACAGTCACACAGCGCTGCTCATCTCCACTGCTTCATGCTGTCAGATCAGAGAGTTCTGTGACTGCTTCATGCTGTCAGGAGAGACTGATTCTCTTTACAGACACACTGTTCCACACGATGATCTGCAGCCTCATGCTTGACTGACATTGTATTTAAACATAATTATTCAGAGATCAGCATGTATTTTTTCCCCTTCAAGTGCAGCTTTTAACAGTCATAATCATCTATGCACTGGCAACATCCTAGCGACCACCTAGCAACCAGCCAGCATGTCGCAGCTGCTTGGCAACACCATAGCAACCAGCCAGAACACTGCAGTATATCACCTTCAAATTTCCAGGCAAGGCAAATATTCATATTCTAGTTGTTTTGATCAAACAGTTACTACATAACATAAGTATCGAGGACACACATTTTCAGAAAAACATGATTTTATGAAATAATCTCATGCAGCACATCCTTCCCCTGCCCTGGTGATCTCTGCAGTGTTCTCATGCGTCGAGAGTGTGTACTGTACTGAGTGAAGCGCAGGTATGCAGGCGTGGACTATCAATACATTCCCAGACGTGAGTTATTGTTCTTTCATTGTGCTTTCGGTGCTCTGCCTTTTTTTTTTTGGCAGCTCCTCAACTCTCATCGTGTTATGGGCTAGCTAAGTGTTCAGTGACTGCACACTTCAGAAACTAGGGGCCATTTTAAGGGCCGTTTTAATCACAGTATCCTTCCAGTGTGCTGTAACGTTCGCTCCCTAAAAACTCCCACAATGCACCGTTAAGCAGGGCGCATCGATGCTCACTATGTTCCCTTAACAGAGTGGAGATTTCAGATTTCAGCAGCACTGGTTGACATGATGCAGTGAGAGGAGACGTGTTTACGTCACGATTCTGTGGAGAGAAGAGTGGGAAAAGGAAGCACACTAACTGTTGACCATCTGCAGGATCGATGCCTCTGATAAAGCCTCACGCTGCTCCTGCACAAACAACAGACAGTCAGACACTGACTCCGTACTGAATACAGCTGAGATGCTGTATCCCACAATGCACTGCCCTTGTACTGCTGTTTGAATGTTTTTTATGATTGCATAATGTGTACAGTGTTTTACATGCTATTTAAAAAAATAGCCAACAGAGATGAGAGTATATTGCAGCATGCTACTCTTCGCTTCTGAACATAGTCATCGGGTCCAGTGCTGCTTACAGCAGTCAAACTCTCAACATGGAACCGAGACACGCAACTAGTTGATCCACTAAACCTGATAAGAAATGACCCAACACACAGACCTCCTGCTGGAGCATTGTGATTCCCCTCGTGGTCAGGAAGACACGCTGAAGTGCAGCTGAATCAACAGTTGTGAGTGCAGTCTGCGGTCAGATGCCAGATCGCTTAGAGGAGCTCGCGGCTAGCATTCCTGGGCTAGTGTTTGGCGGACGGCGCTCGGAAAACACATCTCTGCTTAGATTTGTGTCCGTGAACTGCAGAAATAGAGAAATGTGTAAAACGGGTGCGAGAGACGGATATGGGTTTGATTTGGCCGCAGCAGGTGACACTGGAATACTATCAGTGACGTCGATGAGTAGAGCTCACCATCATCTGGATTCATATTCATGCACATACAGCTCAGATAGCAGGAATATATTTACAGCAGTGACTCTGTGCTTTGTAGAAACAGAACAGAATTATATTAACAGTGAAAGTCTCTAGAGCAGGGGTGTCAAAACTTTAGATTCAACCCTAATTAAACACACCTGATCCAACTAATCAGGTCCTTTAGGCTTATTTGAAAGCTAGATGGTTTGACACCGCTGCTCTAGGCCAAGTGTACTGAGGATTCAAAAGAGAAGCTTTTTTCACGCTTTTTACTTTTTACACTTTATTTTACAGCACATGCACTGTATACGTAGAGTGTACTTATGCAAGGAAGAAGTAACCTAAGGTAACTGCATGAGTTTACTGCGGATTAAGATTATGATGGTTAGTACCTGCTTATTACCCAGTTACTGAATTGTAAGGACTGTTAAATACTGTGCTACCACATTTCAAAAGTGTAATGTTCTTTTTGCAGATGCTTTTCTCCTTTTCTTGTTCGATTAAAATTCCTTGAGGATCTAAAACTCTTTAGTAAATGACATGGATCCATGTTCTGTTTCTTTTCTGAAGTAGCGTGAAGGACTCTGTAAGCTCCAGAAGAGCATGTGTTCTCCATACATGAGGGATTAACACATTAAATCGGTCAGCGTAAGGCGCTTTATGGCACTGCCTGCGGAGCTGAAACTCAGGATCTGCTGCTGTTTTCATGTCCAACATCACACGACAGCAATCCAGACAAAGCTCTCAGTTCATTCTGTTTACTTCATTATGGAGTTCAGTCGTATTGTGTCTTGTTTTGACATCATATTTGCATTATTTATAACAGGTTGAAGTGTGTTGATCTGTGCTCTCTGCTCTCTTTCTCTCTGGGTTGGTCGTGCTGTGGGATCCATCCCTCCGGTTGAACCGTCCCGTTGATCAGAGGATGAGGTAAGCCAGCGTTCACATGTGCTTCAGGTGGTGATTTATGAAGGAGAGTTTAATGTAACTCCTCTGTCCCAGGATCATGAACAGTAGCACACTGTACTGCTCATACTGTACTTCATACTGCAGACTGTTTAAGATAGTGATGCTATAACCAAATTGGTGGCCCCAAATGCAAACTGCATTACGCATGATGACGGCCCTCTGTTCAGACGTGCCACAGTGTTGTCACGTGACCTTCTCTGCTGCATGCTTCTTTCAGTGAGTGGCGT